TTGTCTGACTACATCGCGCCCCCTTCGCATGGTTCCGCCATTGTGAGCGGACGCAGCAAAGAGACATTGATGGACGTTGATGGACGCTCCCCATTGAGCGACTCAGGCCTTTCCTTTTGTAAAACCTCTTTCAGGAGGAAAGGTTTACAAAATGAGCACTGAGAAAAGACTAGAAGGGGGGTGGATGTTCGCTATGACAGGCCTCTCTGAGTGCTCCCAGCTTTCTGACAGGTGTGGGTGAAGGACATGTGAGGTAATCTAGAGTTTGACAGCACGGATATAAGCACTGACACTCTGGGTGTCAGGGCATTAGTGTTTCCATTTCCTTGCACACACTGTCTCCCACACACATGCATCCACTACAGGTCAGATGTCTGCTGATGAACCAGCTCTGAAATACAAGCTCGGGCCTGAGATGTGCTGGTACAGATAAGCTGCACTTTCATTATTATAATTTTTTTTTTGAATAGCTATCACTCAACCCCATTAAGAGATAAATTGCACTGGCTGTAATTTCAAGTCTGCCTGTGAAATCCTAATCAGAAGGGCTCTTAAAATATTCGCTGCACACGAGCATGACGGGCCACGTCCCACGAGTTACAGCAGTCAGGGTTGTCCATCAGTGATCGCATTTCGGTGCCATAAAACCTGCATCTGTCCCATCCCATCGTCTGGGACTGACATAACCAGGCCTTTTCTCCAACGACTAGGTTCTCCCAGCCACAGGCTGGGTTACACTTTGCCATCAACAGAGGCTGTCGTCTGAGCATAGATGGGTTTATGAGAGGGGTCAGACCTGGAGGTCAGAGAGCGGGATTAAGTCAGTGTTGCTGGTCATGTAAAGGTTCTGTATGCAGAGTCCCTGGAGAGTGACAGACACGATGGGGCTAACAGGGCCTACTGCGTGACAAATGTCCATCCACGCTCTGGAATGGCACCTGTGTTGCAAGCATATGGCAGCGTAATTGAGATGTATTGGGTAGCTGTCTCAGAGAACAGCCATAAAGTTGTCGCCCCACAGTATTTTGTTGTTTGAGTGTGTGTGTGTGTGTGTGTGCGCAAGTCTATTGTAAAACTAAATACATTATGTACCTTTGTCCCCTGATATTAAATGGAGATAAGGTGAGCAATTGCTGAAAATGCTGAGTGTGTCAGATCAGCACACTTGATCGTCTGCTCCCTCAATTAATTTACTCTTGCTTTATTTCATTCAACTCCAGCTAGCCAGGCTACTCAGTGACTTCAGGTCTTAACTCTAATTTCTGGGATTAAAATGAAGCTGTGAAAACTTTTATTTTACTTTATCAATTATAGTTCTGGTTCTGCACTGCAAAACCCAATTTTCTTAATCAGTCTTGCTTTCCAGTAAATATATTTAAACATAGCTAAAACAAGATACATTTACTGGAGTTTTTTTTTTCCTGATCCCCCTGTCAGCTTATTTTCTTGCTGTAAGCATACACTAAATTTTGTTTTAAATACATTTTAAACAATTTGTCAGTGTTGCCTGATAATATTTTCATTATAATTAATGCAATAAAAACTCTTCCAGCCTTCTTTCTATTCCAAACTACTGCTGAGATGCAATCATTTGAATTTGGCTGTCATACTCCCTTCTTATTGTGATAATTTATTAAAACGTTAAGATATCATTATAAAAGATGAGACTTTATCAAAAATAAAGATGCCCACTATGTCTTTATGTCATCTCACAATAATAGGATGTCACATATATTCTCTGAAAACAGGTCTTAATATTTAATGCAATACTTGTTTTTGGTTTTTTTTGCCAAGCTGATTGACCAGTGCAGCATTCCACTTATACTCAGTATATTAACTATGAAATGCACACCTAAGTAGCACCTATAGAGACCAACTTTAAACCTCAGCACAAGATATGTTTACCTTGTGTATGTCAGAGTCTATATCTTACAGATTTGCTTAATACATTAGGAATTTTTATAGGAATTTTTCCTTTTAAATGGCATTGAGAAGCTTTGATCAGACCACTCCTGTGAGCTGCAGTGTACCTTTGAGTTCTTTGGGCTAAACTTCTGCCACACCTATTTGAAAGTGTATCTTCCCCAGGCCTAATGACACATGAAGCATATAGAGTTGTGTTTACTTTTGGGGCCAATAGCGATCCAGAGTCCAGAACAGTGCCTTTCCCACAACAATTGTATGCCTGACAGTCTGATTATCATGGGAGTGAATGGTACCATGCGCCATCGGTTGCAAAGGAGGCTAGAAAATTGAATTTTAACAGGCTCAGCATTCACTCTTTCCTCTCCCTCCATTGTTTTTGATTTTGTTGTTGTGCTCTTTGAAGCCGGCAGCTGCAAAGTAGATAGGACCCAATGGAACGTGTACACCTAGACTACGGAAATGTATGCAAGCACTCCCCCGAGGACATTATGAGAATCCAATCTGAAAGCTGTCTGTGCACTTTCACCACCTCTGGGTTTCAGGTACTTGTTTTGTTTTGGTCAAAGAATAGATCAATCCTTTTTTGGGGGGATGGGGAGGTTGTGTGGATGACATTTAGGGGAGATACAGAGCATGTGTACAGACCTCAGACAAAAGCTTGAAGCTAGATGTGTTGTGATTCCCAACAGATTTGCACTCATGTACCTGTGTGTTGCCTTAAGCAATCCACACCACACCTGTCTTCTTCTTTCAGCCTCTCAGCAAACCTTTCTTACTCTCCTGCATTCTCTCAGCACATCACATTTTTACTTGAAGAGAGCACACTGTATCCCAGTATACTGCGGGGGTGGTCAGAGCATCCTCTGTTGAGCTCTTTGATTCATGATCAGTCACACACACCTGAACCGCCGGGCTAGAATCACATCATCATTAGGGGTGGGCTGTTTGACAAAAATCGTATACATCACGCTAACAGTATACATCACAATAGTCTTATTTTTGCAGGAATTTCAACCTCTGAATCTTTTCATGAAACCATAGTAAAATGTATGCATACTTGCACACCTGTGACCGCACATCTGTTGAAATGTATAATAATGTGGTAAGTTCCAATGTTGCTTGGCAACGTTGAACAATCTACAGCAGGGAGTTTTCAAACTTCTGTCAATTTTGTTGTATATTTTACATGTTACTTTTTTACTATGTGAGAAAAAAATATTAAGAATATTTTAAAACAAAATGAAAAAGTAAATAAAATGCTAAATAAAGGCGTTATAAAGGTAATAAATGCAAAATAAGCTATGAAAATATTATTTGGAAAATACCATGTTAACAGTGTTAACATAATTTTTCCCAGTACTAATGTAAAATGTATAATCCTTTAAATATTTTTTTAAAGAATGTTTTTTTAATCACACACCCACATGCATACACACAGTTTTGGGTAAGATTACAGATTACACATGGAGGTTAACACAACACAATGGCAACAATTGGGTTCTTCTTGAAGGTGCAAGCAGATAATAAGTCTAGAGCACTTGTCAAAAGCCATTCTTATAAACTACTGTATTATAATCTGCTAGCATGAGTGTCTTCAAGCCTGTAGATGTTTCAAAGAGAGGAACAGGAGATGAGAGTGAATGAAACAGACACATACAAGCAGCTCTAGAAAAGGTCAAAGACGGCACAAAATGGCCCTGTCTCGCCAGAAGAGAATTATTCTGCTGCAGTCCAAATCTGCCAGAAGCTTCTCAACCGCAGTGCACACTCACTTGCTCGCTATTTGTCATTCTGCTTAGCTCTTATAGCAACCTTGCTGTATCAAACTACCATCAAAGACAGCCATATGAGTAACACAGCAGAGAGCAGTAAGTTGAGCAATGATTTTGTCTTTCTGGAAAGGCTGCTTCGCATACATATCATTGTGTTTCATCTTATCTGTGTTCAAGGAAAAAAGGATTTTTTTTGGCCTCAAGTTACAGCACGTAATCTCTTGCACTGCCTTTCAATTTCTCATTCTAGATTTGACTCACCAGAGGTTTAAAGAAGGACGTGATCCCTTGCAGTGTGACAAATGCCACTTAAGATCCCTGACTTGAAATCGACGTAGCTAGTTGTAGGTTAATGCTAAGTACACAGCTTAATCAGTCCTTAAAATCTCCCCTTTTTCTCACGTCTGCGCTACGACCAATTTGTGTGTTAAGGAGCTTGCAAAGGTGCTTTTAAGGCTCTGATTATGTGCCTCTGGCAATGAGACCCAGCAAGTCTCATTCACTGCATGAAGCCTTTAGGAGAGAGGAGGAAACAAGACAATGACAGAAAGATGCCAAGAAAAAGGGGAAATAAGGAGTAAATGTACATTGTGTCACTAGCTTTGTCTAGGCCACTTCCTGTATGGTAAAAATAGTACAAATAAACGGTTGCAACTAGATTTAAGGTTGAAGAGGTTTTTCTAGGGATTTTGAACTAGCAAAATCAAGTCATCGCAGTAGAAATCCGTTCCCCACGCAGATTCACTTACGTTCAAATTGGTAAAGCTGTTTGGTTTGAATTCTGTGTGAGCTGTGCTTCCTGTTATTGACAATAGACAATGAACTTTCTTACCCATGAAATTTCATTGAAATATCTATAATGTGACTGTACTTTAAGCTCAGGCAATGAAGCTCCACTACCCAAACACTGCTGCCCTGTACACTTCTCGTTAACATTGTGCACTCCCAAACAAACCCAAGGCTGGATTTACTGCAATTTTGACAGATAAGTGCCGCCAGGGTCCCCGGCACACGTGAAAGAGGATGTTCAGTCGTCTCAATCATATGCTTATATGTGTACGGGTGCGTGCATATGTGTCGTTGTCATCAGTTCGACAGCTGGTGGGGGAGGGTCCTAAATAGTTAAAGTCATCATCACCCTACTGTAATATTTTCCAGATGTTCTTTGGCAAAAGCACATTCATCCAGACACATTTGCCTAACTGCCACGATTAATTATCAAGGACAACTGCTTACATCTGCACAGCATTACTACACCGATTTGCCATTGGTTAACCCAGTTCCATTTGATTCTTCCCACAGAGCAACCGTCCAATCAGCACCAGCAGGGCCAGTCCACGCTGCCACCGGTGCCGCCCCCGCACAAGCAGCAGCCGTCGGTGACGGCGCTGAACCACAACTCTGTGAGCAGCCGCAGGAACGTGAGCCCGGCCCCTCCGGCCGCCCTCCCCGCCGAACTGCAAACCACACCTGAGTCAGTGCCGCTGCAGGACAGCTGGGTCCTGGGCAGCAATGTGCCGCTGGAGAGTAGGTCAGTTACGCAATCGCACACACCAGCACAGTTGCATCCCAAAGTGTGACCTGTGTTATGGAAAGGTCCTTTATTTGACATTACTCACACAGCAGGACACGTGACCTTTATATCTGTCTCAAAGCAGTGTGACTGCAGGGCTTTTATTTATAATGCAGCCACTATCCAGTTAACTAGTAGACATCATAGCATAGACATAACAAGCCTCAAAGTATAATTTACATTCATCACACATAGAGGAATATTTGACCAGCATCAGTCAAAATTAAATTTCTGTTTATCATCAGTCTCATAAAGCGGTTTATAATATGGCAGCGTCAAAAAAGTGCTTCTGCTGACTCTGCTTGCTAACATCCCAGAATGTGAGTGACTGAGGCCTCGCCAAGCTTAGGGGAGGATACGGCTTGGTTGTGTTTCCCCCATAAATCAGTGAGGGTGTAAGCTCGGAGGATACACTGAAGGGTCTTTAAACACTAGCAGAAGGGAACGCTTTGTTTCGAGGGTTTGCACGTTAGCGCCATAATGGCCTCTCTCTGTTTTTGATCTACTCTTTCTAGAGACACTGTATATATAATAACTAAGCCTCCCCCATTAAACGATGTTACCATCTAGCACTCCTTTCATTCATCCTGCGTGATATAAGCACAAAGACAGACAAAGTGGGGGTGAGTGCAGAGAGAGAAACGTTCAACTTTCTTGAAGCACTTGGTAAGTGATGCTGTCATTGTGCTAAATGTCTCACTGCCGTTCTTTAAAAATACTTGATAAAAGGCAGTCAAGAGAAAGAGACACAGCCTCACTTCCCCTCCACAGCCTGAAAGCCATAGACCTTAGTCCGGATAGACAGAATATTAAATTTGATGTAAATGAGAGTGAGGCTTTGAGGGATATATGTACAATCCGTTCAGCGGCTAATGGTATCAAGCCAACAACACATTGAAAATTGTCTTTCTGAAAATGCTCGGGATGTAAATGGTTCCAAGTTCATACTGAAATAAATGTAAATGTAACAGTAAATGTAAATGTACAGTAAAACAGTACCTTTCTACAGGAATACTGCAGTACAGACAGTGCCTAATACGGCTTCATGCATTAATGGTCAAATTCACTTCTCAATGAAAATGTGCATTTTGAAAAAGTATTGATGTAAATACAGTCCGTTTGTCCTAAAATAATATAAAAAAGCAAAATATTGGATCTATGCATTAGACCTTAATGTGTTCTTATAGGCATCCTCTTGCTGAAAATATTATTCAAATAATGCTATTAATATTAATCTTCTAACAAGTACTATTTATTTATTTTATTATATTTGTTATATTTATGATTCTTATAATATTTGTTTAATTAATTACTTGGAAAATGTGTTTTATGTTCATTTATTGAGAAATGGTTATATTTGATATTTAAATTTAATAGCATTTATTTAATTAATAATGTTAATAGGTTTTGCTGTGGTATTAAAATTGATATTGAGAATTGTGAAATTTCACTTCTATCGGTGTAGACTACTAGAATATTGGTATTGGGACAACCGTGGACAAAAATTGTTTGTAAAATTTAGATATTTAACAGACTGTACATCTCCCTCACAGCCTTGTATTCAGTAGCATTAAATTAAAAATGACACGTACCCTGACTAAGGTCTACAGGAATGCGAGTACCAATGAGTGGCTTGATTTTGAGTTTATATTTTATGAGCACCAGCGCCAGTGCAAACACAGTGTTACAAGATCCAGCAATAACACACCTGCCTCAGCACCGCCACCCTCGAGTTCACTTCATGGCCCTTCACATGGACACAGTGGTCCCAAAACAGGAATATCCAACAGCTGCACTTCCTTTATGTTCTTTCCCTCTGTTTCTCTGTTTTCCTCACCACTCACTTTTTTGTTACTATGTGGCCGTCTTGCTCTTTAACTTTTTGTCGTGTCAACCACAGCACGATTTTTGCTCTTTAGTCCATTGTTGTTCACCCCCATTGTTTTGCTTTCTGTCTCTTTTCCAACTTACACACTGTTATTTGTATTTGTTCTTCTCTCTCTGTCTCAGTGGTCACACCATATCCTCAAAATGAATTTGGCAGTCGTCCACTCATATTGACAAAGCATTATGTAGATTTCTGTAGATGTTAGCAAGAGAGCTAAAATTTCTGTTTATGTCCTGAGATCAAACTGAGGAAGACCACACTGGACCACACACAGTCAGTAGGGTCTCTATCACTCACAGATGCTTGTAAATCCTACTATAGTGCTGCATCTTTTCAGATAAACACTCTGAAAACACACTCGTTCAGTTACGCTCGAAAGCACACATTGTTGCATGTCTGCGTGGCAGCATTGGTTCAAAAGGTGCCGTGTTCCAAGTTAGACATGGAGCTTACTTAACAACTGTTTACATGACACAGACTGACTTTTAGAGTTAAAATAAACAAAGCATCCAGCTCCCTGACAGGCACAACAGTGAAGTTTAGATGAAAATAATGAAAAACATTACAGCACCAGTAAATGGACGAAAACGTACTGGCAGAGAGTGGAAATGCAAACGCTTCACAACATGTGTTCCTGAACAAGTCCATTGATTTGTTTGAGGCAGAAGATGCTGGCTGAAGAAATGAAAAAAAAATTACATAAAAATCAGTAGACTGCATTAGCCTTTGGAGAAAATTGCACAATCCAGTCCTTAAACACGTCCTGCTAATTTACTTGCACTGGGATAAGTTATCATTTGACGTTATTTAGTGGCTGTTTTACATACATTTCATTAGAGGAACAATTCAGAATTTGTTCAACACACAGGCTGTTAGGTATAGTAAATTGCTCCAACGACGCACTTCCAATATGCTTCAATGAAGACTGCTTTCCTGTGTTTACAAGCATGAACGATTGGTTCCCGGGGCTCAGGTGGCATTATTTCAGCAATTACTGACTGTACCTTTAAGCCATTATTGACATTGTCATGAACCTTGAAATACAGATCACGTCTGAGCATATGTTTCCACGTTCTTGTAATTTGTGAACAATTTGCGCTAAACAGACAATTGAGTCCTGAGATCCTGACTCCTGCTTTCGTACAGTCAATTACCTCACTCTACTGTCTTTACTCTCATCATTATTTGATGATACTATTAAAGTGGGAATAGAGAAACATGAGAAGCCTCTTGAGACACCTGCCGGTCCTTAACTGATTAAAATAACTCAAGATCTCCACACAAAGATGTCTTCCACATTTAGAGTCTGGGTATTTCAAATGTAAATGCGAACCAGGCGAATGGAGAATCTACTTCTGGAGTGGTTGAGTGGAGTGACAGCAACTTCATGTCCCATTACTCTGTTTCATTGTTTTAGCGTTATATTTATCTTTCATCTTACTGTTGATAGTCTGTGAACACTGTTTAATGTGTGGTAAATTCTTGCTTCATAAGCTGTTAACATACATGTTCTGCTCGTGATGGAGTGGTAATGTATTTATCTTGAAATGAAAGAGAACACGGAAGCTCTTGACATTCCAAAACCTCGCTCCTTGCTCTAGGCAAAACAAAGCATCTTGCACCATACTCTGCTCTGGACATTATTTTATTTTTGCACATATCAAAACAGCTTTATTTTCAAGCTGTTCTCAGAGTGGAGATGACCAGCAAAGTGCACATCAGCCCCACACAGGAGTCCCTCATGTGAATCTCAAAGCACTTTTGACTCATAGGTCAGCTCCCATGTCACGCCTCAGAGGTTAGACAGCTAAAGATAGACCTCACGACTTTCACCATCACAAGAGAGAAGGAAGTGCGCATTGCGTTTGATTACAAAAGCTCATTTCCTGTAGACAGTAAACTGAGAGTGTGCCCATTGAACATTTACTGATTCTTTACTTTGTTTGTTGTCTTTGTTTTTGGTAAGTGGTTTTAAAGAGTAGTGATTTATTGCTTCAAAACAAAACCAGACATCAAATTGTCGTTAAAGTAAAGCATCATCCATCAATATAACATCAATAGGTGTTACTGTAATTAAAACAAAAAAAAAAGTGTGAAAGCCTGATGACTCATAGCAGATTGTGTTCAGAGTACAATCACACACCATCCTGCCAAGCCCAGCCAGTTGTCAAGAGCCTTTAGATGTTTGGTTATTTTATCTATGATCTCCACCACCAGTTTAGGAACAGGGAACAGTCAGGGTCAATCCACATAGACAAAACACACAGCAACTGTGAGATGCCTCTCAGTACAGGCTTAAGTGCTTAGGATCATTCAGTACTGTCACTTTGTCCTTTGTCACTTTTATAACTAGCAAATGTTCACAGTAGCACTGCAGAAGAATACACTGGAGGCAGCATTGGAAAAAATGGGCTCCTTGAGAATAACAATAGCCCATATTTGGATTTTCCTTCACATAGATGTATGATTATTTTTGTTTGTTTGTTTTGCTTTTGTTTCTTTTTTGTTTTTGTTTTTTACATTTGTTCTATTTCTTTCTGCCGCCATACTGTGATGTGAAGTGGAAACATGAATTTTAACATAATTCGGGCCTTTTTTTTCTATAGGTCATTATGAGAGAGATTGTTTATCATTGTCGATATATGTACTGTAGATTGACTATATAGTTTTTTCGAAAGTGTGAAGCACAGGGCTGTTGGTTAGCATGAATGAAGCGTAAAACTGATGTAAAAGAAATGTGTGTATTTATTCTGAAGGTCATAGGTCCTTTGTCAGAAGAGTAGAAATTTTGTTTCCACCTTCAGCAGTTCATCTAAACATTTCACTGTGTCAAATAGTAATTCCATGTCTGAAAATTTCAGAATTTATATTCTTTTTAAGTAGACTATCTTCGATTACGCCACTGTATATAGGCATTGTCAAGTTATTTTCCAGTTCTTTTACACGTTCCCTCTTCCTAAATCTTCTGTGAAGGCATTTGTCAGAGGATGACAAACGCGAATGGAGATACATGGATTAGCATAGCAATTTCCAGCCTGATGTCATGCCTGCTGTAATCAATTAACAATGGTTATCTCGTCCCTCATGCTCCGAAATCCCTGTTCGCTGTCTTCTGTGTCAAAGGAACGTTATCCTGTCTTACCCAAACACCAGATGCCCCAGTCAGTCCACAGATGCTACAGCTGGAGATTTTATCTCTGGTTTCCATCACGTCTTCTATTATCTCTTGTTAAGTGGGTGTTGTATGTACTTTGTATTAACATTTTACTAATAGTCTAATCTCGGCATTCAGAGTAATTCAAAACTATTTTCAAGCCCGCGCCACATTTATTCTTATTGCTATGATCCTTTTAACTGCGATGAAACCCAATGTTATATGACTATATACGCCATGTGAACTGTGAGGATAGAGTGAATTGAAAGTGTCAGCAGTCATAATAATATGTAATTAATATTTATAATTTTCATGACAAAGTGACTTAAATTGGTCTTTCCGATGTTAAATTTCCCAGAGTTTGTCTTTATCTCGTCTTGAAAGGTAGGGCAAAAATGAATTTGAAACTGCATATAAATAATTTTAAAAGCTGTTGTGTGGTTTGTATAAAAGCGTAATTCAAAAAGTATAATTCAAGACCTAGGAACATATGGTCAAGTCGTGTTATTGAGTTACATGTCAGCAAGTCACTTGTTGTAAAAACTTTAAGTAAAGAATTGAACTCCTGCTATGAGGTCAGCAAGGTGAGTTGGTTAGAGCGAAGGTCATGGTGGTGTTATGTGGGAACACCAAGAGGTCATGTGCAAAGTCGTACTGAATTACTCTTGGAATTCATGCATCAGTTTTCAACCTGCAAGAAAATTTGTGGAGAGGAATGAAGAACTCCACATTGCCCCATGGTTTTAGATTAGTGTTTCTCATATGGTTTCACTTTTTGGACTTTGACTGGCACAATGCTAAAATAGTTTAGCATGTATAAATAAGCAAAAACATCCTTCAAACACTGAAAAATATATTATTTTGTTTATTGCTCATTTATGTGTCTCAGCAGCTAGTAACTCACTGCATAAACACATTGTGGTCAGCACAAACCAAAGTGAACCAGTATTTAATGTATTCTGGATAATATTTTCCTTTACCTTTACCTTTGGAGGTTTTTGAGGATGAGGGCTTGTCACAAAACCTCTCCATGTTGGCATCTGCCTAGTTTGACTTGCTTCTAACAAGTCACAGATACATTTTCATTAAAATACAGTTGAATATGTTGCACACACGGCCTTCGATGTCAACAACAAAAGATATGGGAATTGTTTTCTCCCTCATAAAAGTTGATGAGCCTTTTTTATATCCTAACAATACACAATTACATGGTTAGTTGCATTTTATTTTTGACCTTTAGCATTGTATTTTTCCTGCTGCCTTGAGCCCTATCATTTCAGGGTCATGACCAACCAATTGAAAACCACTGCTTCAGATTATGTGCATCTCTAGAGATTCCCATACCTCGCTCAGAGGATGCTATTCACCGTAGAGGAAGTATAGTAATTAATATATTCTCACACTTAGCTCATAGAGGATGTAGAGAACCTACCAATAACACTTTACAGTCATTGAATGTGCTTGAGTAATTCTGTGGCTCTATTCACCGTAATAAATATTCCTCCATATCAGAGCATGTTAGTGCTTCCATTTAGAGAAAAACGGATTGATACATTGAACATAAAACTGCAGTATACTTGTTTTATGAGTCTTCTCATGTGTGTGGGTCTGTCTTTCATTCGATGTACATTCAGCTATGACTGTCTGCCATCTGGGAAGCTCTTTCTCTCTGGATTTGCTGCCAAACTCATAATTAGAAATACCTTGACTGTCTCATCACCAGAAAGCACTGATGACCTTTATTCTAATTGTTTGTCTTTCTCATGTAGAAAATTAGCAAAGCAAGCAGTTCTTGAAAACGGGCATGACAACTTAATAGAGATGGATGTGTTCCCTCCCGTGTGCCACGAGGGCGGCTATGGGGACGGGTATGTGCTCCTGAGTCTTCTCTTGGTGCCAGCTGCTGATGCCAAGCCCAACACTGAGTCAACAAAAAGTGCTAAATCTCCAGACCCCCCACCCCAACCCAGACACCCCCAAACAGAAGGCCAGTGCTCAGCCAACCAAATGGCCAGAGTCCCATATTAAGCCAACCGAATTTAGACAAAGCAGTCATGCACTGGCCAAACCTCTTAATGTATATCTCTTCCCTTGTTCGGTTAGCCAATGGATGCAAATTATCAAGAGGCACTTGATTGGCAGCCGCTTCTGACACTGGTACTTGCTTAGGAATAATTGCTCTAAGTTAAGTTGCAATAAAAATCCACTAATATGCTAATCGATTTGCCACTTGCATAAATCACAGCCTTTAATATTTTAATTTGACTAATTCTTTAATTGATATTCCTGCATTACTGGATTAAATCCTGACTCCCTTGCACAGCATCTTGGCTTTGATTGGGTTGATTGATAATGTTAGAGTAAAAGTGAGTTGGCAGCAACTGTTTACTGCACTAAAACAAGAGCACAGTTTCGCTCTCTCTGTCTCTATCTCTCTCTGTCGCTGCATTAGAATGCAGAGACATTGTCGAATTGTCTCGCTAATTGGATTTAGTGCTCAGTGTTATTTGATATCGCAGCTCGAATCATCTGTTTGTTCCATTGTTCAGTCTTCATGGGTCATTCTGTCAACATAAAGAATGCAATCGAACAGACAACCATGCAGTTTTAGAGAATTGCTTAGCTCTGCAAGCTTGTGAGTTGTTTTGTTTAACAAACGGAGGGGATTTCATGTGGTGGAAGAGTGTTATGTCTAGGCATTTAATATAGACTGGGGATAGTTTTCTCACTTTTTTTAACTACGGTAAATATTTCTCAGGTTTGTTTTTGACAGTCAATTCTTTATAGACGCATATCTATCATACGTTTTGACTACGGAAAAAAAAAAAGCTATTAAACATTACTACTGTTATTTCCCCAGAAAAATAAAATGTCATTAAATGAGGAAAGTTGGCAGTTGGCCATTATTAGGTGTTTTGAGCTAAATTTAAACAGTAAAACTAAAATGAAACCCAATTCATGGGGGGGGGGTGATCAGTTATTGACAATTAAATTTTTTTATCTATTTCCAGTGTTTAGTGTTTTGGTTAAAATCTCATTGTATGACTGTCTTAGATTATTTATTTATTATATGTAATATGTATTGACTTAATAATTCTATATAACTTTGATTATCTCATTGTATGACTGTCTTAGATGATTTATTTATTATATGTAATATGTATTGACTTAATAATTCTATATAACTTTGATTATCTCATTGTATGACTGTCTTAGATGATTTATTTATTATATGTAATATGTATTGACTTAATAATTCTATATAACTTTGATATATATATTTAAAATTTCATTTGATATATATATTTAAAATTGCATAGGAGAATATTCTAGAATTTAAGTGATCTATGAATTTGAAACCAGCATACAAAACAACTGCACAAACAAAATGCACATTTATTTATGTATTTGGACTTGTTTCAAAACCTTATATTTATAGTCCTGGTTTCCCATATGTCTACAGTCCTACACCTGGGATAATGTGATCTTAAATGCAAAAAATAATGAAGTTAGTTTTTTTTTTTCCTCTTCTGCTGAGGAAACAGTACCGTTGGTGATTTTTAATTAGAAAAAGCTTTTTCTCCACCTCTCAAGTCCAATCAAATGATTCCAGATTTATAGTGGAAAGTGCCACTCACACTCACATGCACCCAACGTTTCCCATTTCTCCACTTTCATTTGGGTAAAGAAACACAGCAGGCTTAAGGGAAGTCAAACACAAGGTCTTTGATTGAGATGTGTTCGGTAAAGGTTGAAAAGTGAAGAGGGCTAGATTTTCACTGTGGTGTTCAAGCAAACAGAAAGGGCCGGCTTAATAAATGTGCTGGTAATATCTGCCCAGCACAATTACCACATGCCAAGGGCTTCTGTTAGCCAATCATACTTTAAGTGCCAATCAGCAGGAGAGGGTGACACTAGCTTAGGGGGAGACGTACAGGAGCAAGGCAGTTTAGGAGGGCTGTACGCTTCACTTCCTGTACTGAGCCCCGCTCTGTGAACAATCTGTGCTGCTGCATCTATTAATTTAAACTCATTTAGAGTTAATATACCAAGCTTTCCATGAATAGTTATAGATGCGATTGTTAAATGCTTTAAAAATAATAAAACTGTTTCTGATTTTATGAACTGTATCAGATCTTACAAGTTCTTGGCATTAATCTTTATTGCCTAAAGTGGTTCAATGCAAAATGAATCTTTTAAAACGAGAGTAAAATGTTTTTCTCTTTCTGTCTCTCTTTATTTGTCTCTCTCAGGCACTTTCTCTTTAAGACAGGCACCGGCACCACTCCTCTGTTCAGCACGGCCACGCCAGGCTACACCATGGCCACGGGGGCAGTCTACTCGCCCCCCACACGGCCCCTGCCCCGCAACACACTCTCCCGCAGCGCTTTCAAGTTCAAGAAATCCTCTAAGTACTGCTCATGGAGGTGCACGGCCCTCAGTGCCATGGCTGTCTCCATACTGCTCTCTGTACTGCTCTGTTACTGCATTGGTAGGTGAAACCCTGATGCTTTAAAGTATACATAGATGGTTGATTAATGAAGTCAACTAGTTTTATATATTTCTTTATTTCTGTTTTTTTTATTAGTATTCTGAGTTTAATTTAACTTTTAGACAAAAACCTCTCTGAAAATTATATTTAAATTCACCCCCTTTCAAACACCACCACTTGTTGTGTTAAAGGGATACTCCACCCCAAAATGAAAATGTTGTCATTAATCACTTAAGCAGCGCGTGCTCTTCTGTGTCAGACGCGACACAAGGATACGTTTTCTACGTGTATTTACGTTTTGATTTGAAACAGCGCATCCGTGTGGCGCGGCTGACACAGAAGAGCGTACGCTGCTTGCGTTCAGTGGATATTCTCCAAAATGGCGCTACGGTGATGCGGAGAGACACAGAGGAGACAAATTGTTGAATAAAGTTGTTATTTTTGTTTTCTTCGCGTACAAAAAGTATTCTCGTCGCTTCATAAAATTCAGATTGAACCACTGATGGCAGATGGACTATTCTGACGATGCTTTTCATACTTTTCTGGACCTTGACAGTGTTATTTACTTGGCAGTCAATGTGACAGTCACAAGCCTCCCGGTTTTCATCCAAAATATCTTAAATTGTGTTCCAAAGACGAACGAAGCTTTTACGGGTTTGGAACGACATGGGGGTAAGTGATTAAAGGTGGGGTAAGCGATTTCTGGTAGCCAATGTTGACATTTGAAATCACCAAAAC